ATGGGCGTGGCGAACAGGCCGCGTATCTCGACAGTGCCGGTCGTGATGAGGTCCAGCTCTGGCACCATCTGCGCCTCGATCACTGTGCATGTTGAAGCCACCCGTGCCATTTGTTTCTCGACTTAAATAATCAAATTGGTTCCTAGCTCTATTCCTAGCACACGGAGAAAAGAAAATTCTAGCTTAATGGCGTAAAATAACTTTTATTCAAAGTTTTATGAAAAGAGATAGCTTCATAAAAATTATTTATTTTTATTTTGAAGTGACATTTTTATTGATACTGTAGTGGAAATTGGCCTGGATCAGTTGAAAATTGAAAAACGTAGTTTCACTGCTGACGCATTTCGCTGGAGGGAAAACGGCTTGTTTCCAAAGAAAAAATATTATTGCCGGACTCTGGTTTGATGCAACTCGTGCCCGTACTATGACTACCCATTTATGATCTTCAATTATTCATAATCGTAACATTTCTTTAGACTAAACGATCATAAATATTGTTCACATTTGAACGATTCGTTCTCGAAACTCGTGTTGATGTAGTTGCCATAATTACCGTACACTTCCATTGATTTTAGACATCTACTACCAACATCCTGTAAAATATCTAACATTGTTTGCGATCTGCATTAAATTTCCTGTTTCCATGACAGTCTGTTCTCCATTTCAGAAGAATTTTGATAATTTCATTTGAATCAGAGACATGCTAATTAGCTAGTTATTTCGTGAACATTGAAGTGATACAAAAGCTTTATCTCAGAAATTTATGGCAATAAAAATCGTTCTTAATCAATAAAGCATTGCGTACTTATGCTGGATGTTCATTAGGCGGCAGACGTGCTTAGCTCTAAATAAAATTCACCATGTTCTCCACTTACATCGCCGGTTAGTTCGCATGCTGTCAAGCACCCCCAACAGTCGGCGCGTGTCCACAACCACCTTCTGGATGGACGTGGGTACGTACAGCTGCGTGGAGTCGCGTCCCAGGATTTGCATCTGCAGGAGAGCGTCCAGGAAGGACACCCAGTTGTTGTTCCAGCGAATCAGCGCGCGCCTCCCTGCAGTGGTACATCATCCTTCATTTAATAATCGAAGCGATAAAACAAATATTTGGATTATTATTATTATTATTATTATTATTATTATTATTATTATTATTATTATTATGCGTGTATGAACCTACCACTGCAGTAGTAAAATGTGTTTTCAAAATACGAATACGAATGTCTAATCTCTCTGAACAGAGAAAACGCTTCCTACTATTTTAAGGTGAAATTTCAACTTGAGAAAAATACACAAATTAATTAATTAAATTCGTGCAATAAACAGAATTACTATGTCAAAAGCCTTAATCTTTAATTTTGAGGAATAATTGTAACTGAAGTGAAATAAGTGTAAAAAGCAATAATAAACTACACTCTACCGACTACAAAAATTCCAAAATATGAAAGTTAAAAGTAATCAATGTCATAATTATTAGTCACAATTTAAAACTAATCAGTCACAAAAACTAGCAGTGAAAAGAACTTATTTCAAGTGCAGAAATTGATGGTTCCTACGATAGTTATTGGAACAAACACATCACTCGCGTTTCAGGGAAATGATATTTATATATAGACTTCCTGCCAATACAAGCACAAGTAGAAATATTGCGTCTGAATTTTCATCGAAAATTGTCAATCCTCACATTGACTACACGCATGTGATCGAAATATATTGCAGCTTATTTCCCTCCCAGATTTGAGGA